AGATTGACAGCGATTCATAACTGTTGCAATATCAAAACCACTTGAGCAAGAACCTCAGAGCATGCCCTACATCCGGGACCTGGGGAGGGTGAGAAATTGGGTGGGCCTTCTCCCTTAATACCCCCCTTTAAACATGAAGGTAACAATATGGAAAACATACTAGTATTATCCACTTTCCTGTAGCCCTTGAACCTTCTTACCCTAATTAACTATGTAAAGATTGTCAAAATAAAAATAAAATTTTACATAAAAAAACACAACTGACAAAAGAAAATAATGGATAAATTAGACATCATCAAAACGTAAAATCTTTGTACTTCAAATAACAAGAGCTGAATGACAAGCCAAAGAAAGAAAAAAAATTTACCAGTTATATGTCCAATAAGATACTTTTATTCAGGTTGTAAAAATTACTCCTCCAACTCAACAACATAACGTGATTCAATCATGGGTTTCATTGTAGCACCTGATACAGTCCCATCACCTCCTAAAGGTTCCAGTTTTAGGGAACCTAACTGAATCAAGCATCCACCCTAATCTATCAACCATTAGTTTTCTAACTGTTAATATAAGACTTTGGGGATATAAAAGCATGAGTTTAGCTAACCAAGTCCTATATATTATTGATTTATCGCCACTTAATTAACTAACAACAGCAAAATACCTCATGCCTTCATGAAGCTTAACCAGCACATGTACCTTTTCTTTAGAGTATAGTGTAGCTTAGGAATACTAGCCAGCACTGCATCAACATTATTGCAGGCTATTTTAAATTTTAAAGTAATACTAAACTACAAAAAAGAAAGTCTTTAGATAGACTGTAGAGAAGATATTTTACAGTATAAGAACTGAAACAAGAAGGCTTAGCATGGCCTTGTTCAACCTCAACTGGGAATGTGCACTTGAGATGACGCAAAATTTTGTGTCACTCTGCACAGGTCTTTGAATAATCACACTGGTTTTGGGTTACAAATAAATGTTAGCAAGTGAGAGATGGGGCAAATATGTAATGCAAAATAATAAGGATCAATTGTATCCTATTACTAAATAGCTTTGCAAGTATACACTAGGGAAATCAAAAGCAGAATGTACAGTGTGCGTTGTTTCAGGAATAAATAAGTCTTTCTGTTTTTCTGGATATGAAAAAACAGGAAATAGAATCTTTATTCTGTTTTTCAACCACATGGAACATTTAGAAAACAATATATTTCGTAGGAAATACAATAATTATCCTTTCTTCAAATAAAAAAATCACAGAATGTAAGTTCTTGTATACAAGTAATAAAATTAGAAAATGAATCCTTCATGGTAAAAGGAAAATGAAACTATGGAGGCTGTTTATTATAGTTTCTAAAAGGATTTAAAGACAATTATCTCCTAAAAAGTATTACTTACAGGTGGGAATTATACAGGCAGAATCACATTTAATCTGCCACTAACTACACAGATTAGATACTATTTGCACACAAAATAATTGATGCACAGAGGCAAATAATCTGCTCAAAGTTAAGTTTGGTGAGTACAGCACCAAATTTTTTTTTGGTGGGGCTGTATGTTTAGAAGTTAGTGTTTATTTTTCATCAACCTTAATTCCATTTTATTCAAGAGGCTGTGGAAGAACTATTTAAGATTCCTCAGTGGTTGTTCACACCCCTTTGTAGTCTAAGCAATGGGAGACACAGCTCAGTTGTGGACTAAAAACTACACACTGCAGTAGGGAACGGCTGGATAGGACAGAAGGTCCCGGCATGCCTTCATACCAGTCTGGAACCCCAGGTTGAGAAGCAATAAACTCAGAAGATGGAACACTCTATTCACTCTGAAATCCCTCCTTGTCAACACTAAGGTTTATAACCCAGGGACTGAGACTGACAGCATAATGAGATTGATGGCTTGTGGCTACATAGCCTCCCAAAAAGCATCAATGAAAACTTATGCTTCCTACCCTCAGATGATCTTTTTTTTTTCAGCACTTGATTAGGATACTTTCACATCCTAACTAGTACAAGCTACATTTTTTGGTAAAGGGACAATTTGACAAGTATACGGAAGTTGTTAGTATAGTCTCAGCCAAAGTTGTGTCTGTTCAACTAGTGTTTAACATTATCTTAAAGGCTGTTCTTACTTAAATCATAGTTGGTTTCAAGTTGTTTCTGAAGATATTTGTACCCATGTCTTCACTTTTGTATAGTATGTTCCCATCTGAAATCACCACTTCCTAGATGGATATTTACTATCACATCTACAATCACTATTTACTACATGGACAATGATTTTTTGATGCAAAAAATAGCTGTTAATTAGAGAGCATGTTGCAAGGGAATAAGGCACAATTAAGGCAAGAAGAGAGGACTACATGGGATTGGAAATCCTAAAACAAAAGTTGTAGTTCTTGGAAAAAAAGACATGGAACTTATTTCTGTAAATACATCCAATTTTGCTCATATTTCACATGATATTTAGGTTGAAATAGTAGTCATTTCTAACATTTACACTTTGTACCAGCCTTTTATTAAAACAAAACAAAACAACAACAACAACAAAAACACCTTCCACTGAGTTTGTCAGTTAAAAGCAGGCTAGTTAAGCAGGTCTTATTTTGTCAGAAAAATAATGCCAACTTTCAAAACACCAATGTGAAGAAAATGGTTATTTTCTGAGAAGAGAGGTTCAAGACAGCTAAGAAAGTAGATATATATGGGCTATAGGATTGGCATTCAACAGTGTAGAGCCAGCAAAATTCTAGAATGACAACTATCTGATCAATGTGACATAAATGCAATCTTATTACTAGGTTATCAAAGAGTTAACATTCTCCTAAAGGATATGTACTTTCCTGTATTTTTCTTATCCTCCTAATATTTTTAACAAGCCTCTCCCAGCAAATTACTTAATTTGCTTCTAAATAAGCACAGACTTAGCCATCCACATTTCTGTCCATCCAATCATTTTAATGTTCTCATAGAAGTAGTAAAACCTGAAAAATTACTACAAATTCGCAAGAATTCATAACTTATTTTTGGTTCTATGCCAATGTCAGCTTCTTTGAAGGTAGGCTTTCTTTTCTAGCTTGGTATGAGATAAAAGACATTTGTTGCCAGACACTGGAAATTAGAATTTCTAATCTTAACCACACTGAACAAACTAGAACATGACTTCTAAAACCTGGGTTTAGATGTAATTCAATCTTTGTTCCTCATCGATTTGACCCAACCAACAAATTAATGAATAATAGAAACTAAAGTAGTCTAGGAGTAAGTGACTGGCAAAGTGATGAAGCCACATCAGAAGCACTGGGATTGAGTCCTGGGTCTGTTTATGATTTCTGCTTCCAGCTGATGCTCACCATAGGAGGCAGCAGGATAACAGCTCAAGTAATCAGGCCCTGACAAGGCCAGAGAGAATTCCTGGCTCCCAGCTTCAGCTTGTGGCTTAGCCCCAGCTGCTGCAGGTCTGTAGGGAGTAAGCCACAGACAGAAGACCTGCGTGTATGCATACATTTGCAAAATGTGTGTGACATTCAAAAAAGTGATAATTTTTCAAGTATAAGAAGTATTCTATATTTATAGCCTTTCTTTCTTCTTTCTTATTTTTTGTGGGTTTTTTTTTAGCCTTACTTTCATCTAAGAACCTCCAACATTCAATAAATGCATGAAGTTTATTTAATTAAAACTGCTCACTCTTCTATTTTCTCAATTAACTCTGCCTTCAGCGGGGACCAGTGTTTTTGGCCCAGCTGCTGAGCTGCCGAAGACAACCATGACATTACATATAAGCCATGAGTTGACACACAACCTCTCCACTTCTGATCCAGCTTCCTGATAATGTGCCTGGGAAAGCAGCAGAGGATGTCTCAAGCATCTGGGTCTCTGTCACCACATGGGAAACCGATATGGAGTTCCAGGCTCCAAGCTTTGGCCTACCTCAGCCCCAGCAGCTATTCATTTGGGGAGGAATCAGCAGATAGAAGAATTTTCTTTCTCTGTGACTCTTTCAAACAATAAATAATTAAAAATAAAAATCACAGAGATTTTTGCCTGCTGTGCTGACTTAATTATCTCATTCCCTTTATAATTAGTTTACGTGCGTAACTCCATAAATATCATTATAAATCTTTTTTAAAAGATTCATTTTATTTTCACTTGAAAGGCAGATTTATACAGGAGAGAAAAAGAATCTTCCATCTGTTAATATAAGGAATCCATCATACAAATTGGAATGTATAGTGGTGGAGTAATGGAGACTACCATATCCAGAAGTGAAGACACGATGCAACATGCATTTTTGCTTCCAAACAAAAAATGGACTCCCAATGAAAGTGTTGGATATATCCAAACAACGGGATGCTGGACTGTCTGACATTGTCTGTACCAGAATTGTCAGGGTATACTTAAATAGCAGACGGATGGAATTGTAATCAGAGGGGTAAAAATTAAAGAAGGGCAATCCCAGAATATTCAGACCTGTATGATAAATTTCAGAAATAAAAATTAAAAAAAAAAAAGAATCTTCCATCTGCTGGCTTGCTCCTCAAATGGCTGCAATATCCAGAGCTGACCTGAACTGATCGAAGTCAGGAGCCAAAAGCTTCATCTGGGTTTCACACCTGGGTGGAATGAACACAGACACATGGGCCATCTTCTGCTGGCCATTAACAGGGAGCTTGGTGGGAACTGAAACAGCTGTTACATAAACAGCACCTGTATGGCATGACAGGCAGGTGGTGACTTTACCAGTTTTGCCACAATGTCAGCCCTGTGGCTTTTTTAACATTGCCAAATTCCCCTCCACAGAAGTTGGAAAGTCCTATATCCTGATACAAACTAACCTGGTAATTATTGCTACCTTGCATATCCTGGTGTATAGCCCTTCTGTATTTTAAGTGTTAACTATTCATTATTCATGACACTGGAACTCTCCCTCTCACTCCTACCAACTTTGAATGCTTCAGATTTTACAAATCTTTGGGGAAAAGAATTATAAGAAAAAAAGTTGCTTACTGAGTGGTGTTGTGTCAGGAGGTGGAAAATTCTCGGTGAAGTTGACATTACACAAATCTGTGCTACAGCAGCAGAAACGGTATGTTCCATTCTGAATTGAGGGAGGGGTAGTAGTTACTACACATTCTTCAAAATGACACTCTTGAGGATCTCCAATGTGAGACCAACATCCTACAAATCAGCATGAATACAAAAAAGTCAGGGAAAAACAGGAAAAAACTAAAAACACAACAAACAACTGCAATAACGTGACACAGTGAACACATTTAAGAGAGTCTTGCAAATCAATTTATAAAACAGAAAAAACTGCAAAGGATATAATAGGTACATTATAGGGCAAAAAAACGCATTAATAAAACACTTAACTGCATCATTAAGATTAAAGCAACAGTAAGGTTTCATTTTTGCCCAAGCCAATTAAATTGTTCTAGTTTTTAAAAATAATAATATATAATCATAGCAAGGATTCTGTAACAGAGACATTTTCATACAATACTGGAATAGATGTAAATGAATAGTATTTGTAGAAAATCATATGGTAATTTTTAATAAAATTTTTTTTTAATTCATGTTCTATTAAGCCAATAAGTCTATATCAAGGAATTATGTTAAGGAAACAATCAGATCAACTACAGATTCATATTCAAAGTTGTCCACCAAAGCACTATGTATTAGAATAAAAATCTAAGATGCTAGGATGTAAAAACAAATTAATGTGTAAATAAACTGATATATGTATAAAATGAAATACTATGCAAAGGTTAAAAATGAGTTCATGGAATGTCTAAAGAAATGATAAAATGCTCATGATATAATTAAAGCTGGGAAAAAATAAAATACCTACACATGTTAACATGGAAGTAATGTAGAAAACACACCTGAAGGAGATTAAACTAATGCAGAAAAAAATACTTTTTTAGGAGTATATAATTGAAGACTTCTGTTTTCTTCATTACAATCTTCCAGATTGTCCAAACTTCGTATAATGCGTATGTATTAGCATTATAATAATAAATGTTATTAAAATAATCCACAAATAAATTTTCCTTTACAAAGCTAGGGTATGCATAGGTACATGTGGGTTTGTGTATATATGTAAATATTTACTTTTAAATTTACAACTTTTCTGAAGAGAATCTTATCATATTTCCATGTCATTTTCCAGATAAACTTCAATTGTATGAAACACAAAGACATATAAAGTAAGGAAAGTATTACTTACCTTGTTTCACAAGGTTTATGTCCCCTTTTGACTTCTCCCAAAGACCATAGCAAGTGCTGCCCTTCGAGCACAGTATTGTCCCATTTTCATGAGAGATACGACTCTCTCCTATCCCAAGGTCCTGCTGATATGGATCTTTAAATGCACACAGCCGTTCTTGATTCTGGGAAGCTGTAAATACAGGAAATAAGACAATGATAAATTTTAGGATAATCTTTGTAAAACATAATGTAAAATCATGTTCTTACCTGAATAACACTAAAATTTTCCTACTAAATTCTCCAAACTCAATGTAGTGCATATCCTGAAAATCAATATTTATTTGCTTTCATGAGAGAGAGAAGAAATGAAGAAAACAGATATCATGGGGATGGGCCCATATGAGCATACTTGGGTTCCAGTCTCAGTTCCCCTCTCAATTCCAGCATTCAGACAATACAGGTGATGACTCAAGGAGTTGGGTTTCTGCTACCCACTTAGGTCTAAGGACCCAAGCAGTTGACCCATCCTCCACTGCTTTCTGAGGTGCATTTGCAGGCAGCTGGATCAGAAGTGGAGCCGTTGAGAGTAGAACTGGCACCCGTATGGGATGCTGGCACTGCAGATGGAGGCTTAGGATGCTAAACCATGATGCCAGCCCCTAACTTTCACCCTTTGATGGTCATTTAAGTACTTTCTAATTTCTGATTATTAAAAATAAAGCCATAAAAAAGCCATAATGAACACCAGCATTGTAGAACAGTAAGTTAGGGTGCCTGTAATTAAAGCACCCCATAGAGGGTCAGTTCTAGTCCTATCTCCTCTGCTTCTGATCTAGTGTCCTGCTAATGTGCCTTGTAAGCCAGTGGATGATGATTCAAGAACTTGGGCCCCTGCCACACACACACACAGAAGATCAGAATAGAGTCTCTGCCTTCTGCTTTCAGCCTCACACTCAACTGGCTTCTGCAGCCATTTAGGAAGTGAACCAGTGTATGGAAGATTCTCTCTCTTTCCATCTCTCCTTCCTGTTACTCTGCCTTTCAAGTTGACTTGTACTATGGAATCATGGCCTAAGGAATCATACACATACACACACACACACACACACAAAATCACTGCCAAAAACATGATCAGCCAATATGGAAGAGTTTGATAGCTTCTTATAAACATACTTTATCATTTATAAAATAAACTTTACTGGGCCCGATGGCATGGCCTAGCAGCTAAAGTCCTCACCTTGAACGCGTAGGGATCCTATATGGGCGTTTCTAATCCCAGCAGTCCCTCTTCCCATCCAGCTCCCTGCTTGTGGCCTGGGAAGGCAGTTAAGGACGGCCCAAGGCTTTGGGATCCTGCACCCACGTGGGAGACCAGGAAGAGGTTCCTGGTTCCCGGCTTCGGATAGGCACAGCACCAGCCATTGTGGTCACTTGGGGAGTGAATCATCAGACAGAAGATCTCCCTGTCTCTCCTTCTCTCTGTGTATCTGACTTTGTAATAAAAATAAATAAATCTTTTTAAAAAACGCTTTATCACTTAGCCCAGTAATCCCAACCTACGTATTGACCCAAATCTAATCATCTATGTCCACAGTTATACCATTATAAACATGTTTCTGATGGCTCTTTCTGTAATGACTCAATCTTGAAATTTCTCAATTGTCCCTCTAAAAATTTGTCCAACTAAAAAAGTGAATAATCAAATACAACTTGCAATAAAAACTAATGAACTACTGACACATGTGCAACAACATGGATGAACCTAACACATTACACCAAATTAAAAAGCAAGACCCAAAAAGTTACCCAACATTTTTAGAAAAGTAAAAATACAGGGATAGTAAACAGATCAGTGGTTGCCAGGGGTTTACTGGGCATGAAAGAAAGGAGACAATTACAATACAGTAAAAGGGAACTTGTAGGTGGTAGAATCATTCTTTAGTTCCACTGGGGTGTTAGCTACATAACTGCACATTTGTCAAAACTCACAGAATTGTTTTCTGGAAAAAGTGGATTTTATATATTTAATTTTAAACTAAATTGTAAAATCTCAAGATGTCAATAGTCATTGAACAAGTACTAATGAGTTAATTAATCCTATCCTGTATGTCTAAATTTCAAAGAGACTTCATTATTATGAAACAGAGAAAGAAGAGCCAATCTAATTCAAAGTAAGCAGAAGAAAAGAAGGCAGACAAATTAAGGAATAGAAATCCTTATCATTTAGACTAAGTATTGTTTTTCTGGATTTGATATATATATATATATTTAAATGGTTTTTTTCATCCATATTTAATTAGAACTATACTTTTTAATTATTTTTTATATTAGCTGATATATTAAAATTTATTTATTTGAAAAGCAGAACTAGAGAGGGAGAGAAAGAATGAGATTTTTCCTTTTGATAGATCACTCCCCAAATGGTTGCTATCACCAGAGCTAGGCAGGTCCAAAAAGTCGAGCATATATATATATATATATATATATATACATATATATATATAGACACAGACCTTATACCCTTCATGAACATTAATTCAAATGGACCACAGACTTAAATCATGCAAAACCACAAAATTCCTAAATGATAAGCAAAATCTAGGTAATCTTGAGTGTAATATTTCTTTTTAAAATCATGGTATATGAATAAAATGGTAAATCACTTACATTAAAATTAAAATTTCTGAGCTGGCATAGTGACATAACAGGCTAATCCCCCACTTGCTCCACTTTGTATCCAGCTCCCTGCTAAATAAGTCATGGGAAAAAAGTAGAGGATGGCTCAAGGCCTTGGATCCCTACACACACGGGAAATCAACGAGAAGCTCTTGGTTTTAGATCGGCCCAATTCTAGCTATTGAGACAAATGGGAAATGAACTAGCAGAAAGAGAATTTCTCTCTGTCTCTCCTCCTCTCTATATATAACATGCCATTCAAATAAAAATACAAAAATCTGTGCCCAGCACGATGGTTCAGTGACTAAATCCTTGTCTTGCGTGTGTCAGGATCCCACATGGATGCAGGTTTGTGTCTCAGCTGCTTTACCTGCCTTCCAGCTTCCCTGCTTGTGGCCTGGGGAAGCAGCTGAGGATGGCCCAAAGCTTTGAGACCTTGCACCTACATGGGAGACCTGGAAGAAACTCCTGGCTCCTGACGTTGGAACAGCTCAGCTTCAGCCACTGCAGCCACTTGGGGAGTGAACTACTGGACAGATCTTTCTCTGTGTACCCACTTCTCTCTGAAAATTTGCCTTTTTGATAAAAATAAACAAATCTTTAAGAAGATGTTAATAAATGAAAAGAAGGGACTTCTGAGAACACGTTATGAAACAAATGAATTTCAGAGTAAGAAAACTCAGGTATAAAATAGCTGGGTAAAGAGGGAGGGCATTGTAGCACACCAGGTTAAACCACTGCTTGGAACACCCATGTTCTATGTTGGAATGTCAAGTTCAAGTCCTGGCACTCAGCTTCTGATTCAGCTCCCCGATTATGTGCAAAGGAAGCAGCAGATGAGGACTCAAGTATCTGAGATTCTATTACCCATGTAGGAGACCTGAAAGGAGTTCCCAGCTCCTGATCTCAACTTGGCTCAGAGCCAACTGTTGTGATCATTTAGGGAGTAAACCCCAGCAGGTGAAAAAAATCTTTCTGTCTCTCCATCTCAATATGCTACTCTGCTTTCACACAAATAATGATTTTTTTTTTTAAAGACAAACTTGGTAGGGATGTTTCTGAGGGATATAGGTGGAGAGAGTAAGTTCTTACAGCTATATCATTCAAATAACTTCAAGGAGATAAACAGTATAGTATAGTCAAGTATTAAAGAAAAAGGATTTATTCTTTTGTAGCACACCAAAATCCACATTCTATGTCCAGGAAGACATGGACTGATATTTCTTACTAATTTGCCAATAATTTATGTATAGACAAAAGCACAAATGCCATCATTATTCAATGCCTATTCCACTCACTAGATGTAGATTTATAAGCATTCTATACCTTTAAAATTGCAATATGCAGTGACAGAAATGAGACAAAAACATCTAATCATTTACTTTATCCTCACAATCTATTTCTCTCCTTTATTTCTCTCTCTAACCACAAATATTCAGCAAAGCCAACTTCCCCTAAAGAAATGTAGGGATACAACTATTTAATCTCGCTCTACAAGCCCTATACTGTATAATATGTTAATTTAATTTACCATTCAAAATAAAACCTGGGGAATGTATGAAAAAAATCCTCTATAAAATCTGTTACAATTAAATCAAACTTACTCATATTTATGTCTTTAAAAATGACATAATTTTGTGATTGTTTTAATTCATTTGAAATAAGCCTCTGAAATCTAGCTGGCCAACCAATTTTCTGAGAATGCCTATAAACACAAAATAAATCAGTTATAAAGTTTTTAATCATGTTAAAAATGCCTACATTAAAATAAAATCCTTAAAAAAAATGTCTACAGAGGTGCCAGACGCTGAGAACCAGGCAATACACCAATGATGATCTTTGTAATTTTCAATGATATTCAATAGTCATCACTACTGCTAATAGTGAGCATTTAATAATATTGATTCAATTTCTACTATATCTGTACTATAACACTAAGCATTGTGCAAGATTTAACAATATGCATAAGAGATTGTCATAAGCTCAAACTTGATTCCACAAATAATAAAAGAATTCCATTTTTGACATAAATTATGTAAGATATGGAGATTAGGGGCCAGTGCCATGGAGTAGTAGGTTAAGCCACTGCCTACAGCACTGGCATCCCAGAACAGATGGAAGACCTATCTCTGTTGCCTCCTCCCCCAAAGCTCTGCTTTGCCAATAAATAGAGTAAATCTGAGAGAGAGAGATGGAAAGAGAGAAAGAGAGAGGGACTGGAGATTAAAACAGAAACAAAACATTTGATTCCAAGCCTATGGAAAACAGTATACTAAGTATATGGAATCCTTGAAAGATGATGAAAATCTACTGTAATACTTACTATGTTGAGCATGTACAATTACAAAATCCCATCAAATTGCACAGTTTATAAACATATGAAATACCTCAATAAGTCAACTTTTGAAAGGGCAGGACACAGTATAAAGTGAACAGAACACTACAATTCAGAGAAATTTAAATATTTTTCATTCATGTTATAGAAGTGCTTTACTGAGTCATATCCCTAATTTA